TATATATAGGCATAACGAAGATAAATTTTAATCATACATTAAAAAAACCCCAGTTGTATAAAATAAAATAACGTCAAACTTGTTTCCGGAAAGAAGAGCTAAGCATTAAGTACATATGATACTGTTCGGTCATCCGCTGTCAGACGGCAGAAGTCCATTAAAATACTCTTATTCCCGCAGTGCTCATTTTCTACTTTGTAGCGTGCCTGTAGGGCGCCCGGTACCACCCGAACCCCACATCCCTGGCCCTCTCCTCGGAGTCGGGAGAGCTGGGGGGGGGCTGCAACCAGCCTTACCTTGGGAAAGAGAGGACACCTGAAGAGTCGCAATGTATTTGTTGAGGTATTGAAAACGGAAACATTTCCCTGTAGGTATTAAAGGAGCTTTGCTGTGCACTGACAAAGCCCATAAGCCCCTGGAATAGCTACACTGCTTCCAATGCGTGGCAGCAGCATCTGAAGCACACCGGTGACTAGAACAAATAGTTACATTCGGACAATGAAAATGGCTTGTGTATGTGTAAGACTGGGGCTCTCATTTCCATTTTTATTTCTTTTTGTTGCAGGTAGTTGTGTAAGAGTCAAATAAGGTACCACACAGCACATTTATGCTATGGTTCATTACAGGTTCTTTTACCAGAACTGCAATCCCACAACTTAACCCCAACGAAACCAAACACAAACCCCAAACCAAACCCTTACTGTTCACAGCATCTTGCTTTTATTTTAGCCTCACTGACAAAACAGGGTCTAGAATCAGTAACATCAAGCCCAACAGTAAAAAATATTTGATCAAAATATTCTAACTATGGTTTAGAGGGACACTGTTACAACTCAATGCCTGTATTTTCCCAAGAACTTGAGATGTCCATTTCTCTGTAGAATGGCAATATGAAATGATCTTTCCACCCCAGATTACAGTTGTGGTTTGCAGACTAATAATCAAGGTCCTAAAAGGTCTTGAAATTCTTGGCAATACAAAATTTGAAGCATCTGTATGCAACAGTAGTAAGTTCTAAGTTAGCACCTGTGCAATGAAAAAAAAGGTGGATCAAGAGTACACTCTATAGTCAACGACTCAGGAAGGATGATCAGCTTTTAAAGGCTAACAGGAGGCCCAGCAATGGCTACTTCAATGGAAGACACAACGAGAATTTCATGTAAAAACTAAAATCGAACGGTTGCTTGTGTTTTCTTGTGTGCACATTTAATTTATAAAAGCTTTTTTTCAATTCCCAAAGCAACTAATTTAAAGTAAAACAGCTTTATGATTTAGGTCAACATTCTGTAGCCCTCAAGTACAAAAATATAAATACAAACTGTTTAAACAGTAACTTTAATGAGATTCTGGCAGTAGGTTTTTTTTTTTTTTATCCAACAAGACACATCACGTAATGGGTCTGCCACTGAACTTGCTTAGAGTAAAATCAGCTTCAATATGAAGCTGTTAAGGTATCAAAACCCTGCTTTTTACATGCTAAATATCTTCAGCAAGTGTGCACTTAAACACAGCAATGAACTTAACCACAAGAAAAACTAAATACATACATGAAACTCTGCATGTGGAACGTAATTCATAGAACTGCTTACAACAAACAATTACCTGCATTTCATTAATTTAAAAAAATCATGCAAAGCAATTCTAAAGATAATGCAAAGAAAGTTACCAGTGTTTGCAAGAAGTGTTCAACTAAACCAAAATTACATTAAATGAAATATGCATATTTACTAGCAAAGATCTATCGCTATTTCAAAGAAGCAGAGGTAAAATCTTCAGGTTTTGAATGTCAGTTATACTGCAAAATGTCATTGCTCTTGCTTAATGCAGAAGCACATGCTTAGAAGCCCAGAACTGCTTATTCAGAAAATCTGCTGACAACAGCTCTGGCTTCCCTATGATCAGAGATGCTGCACGGATTAAAAATAGCAGAGATTTGCAAGAATCAAAGGCAAAGGCACCCTACTCAGTCAGCCAAAATGGTAGCATTCCCCTTCTCATAAGCATGAAGATGGTAATGGGGCATATGACAAAACATTTCTACAAAGGCAGCATTTAATAGTTATAATTAATTTCCCATTTTGTAAATGCATTAGCAGACAGCAGCTTGTAATAGTTTATGTATAGTATCAACCTGCAGGATGAACTTGGTATTTTATTTGTCTTGATTTACAAATAAAGACTATTACTAATGCTTTAAAATACTACTTTTACTATCTAAAAAGTTTAACTCTTATTTTCCAATATTTTACACCTCAGCTGGACTACCATCTCATCTTGTTTCAAACATCTAACACTGCTTGCTAGAATTTTATAAAAGTTGTACCTCATGTATTAAGCAGCAGGCAATAACAATGGTCTTTCGCAGCACAGCTGCATCTGGCTGGCTACTGAAAGATTAGGAATATTTCTAAAACATAGGAAAACTCATGCAGTTTGGTAAAGTTTGCTGTCATTTCACAGTTTAAGTTTCCTTCAGTCATTGCACTTCTGTTGATAGTCTTGTTTTTTTAAAATATTATTCCGAATCTGAATTTGAACCAGCAATCTTCTTTTTCTTCTTTTTACCATGTTTCTTGTGCTTCTTTCTCTTTTTTGTTTTATCCTAAAATAATAATAAAATTAAATGCAAGTTACTGTACAATAAAATTGCCATCTATTAAATTCTGCTAATGCAAAATGAGAGCATGGAAAGGATATCTTTACAAAAACATTTCGAAAGAGATTTCTACAAAAGCCTATGCAGAAATCACAAAAAGAAGATTCATATTTTACCCAGTAATTTGCACTATTATGAGCAGTCTTCAATTTATTTCCATCATGGTCTGGCTATTTCATGCCTCTCATCACTGTCACTATTACATTTCCTAATCTTTTAAATTACTTTCAGTGCTCTATAGATTTCTGAGAAAGTAATAAGGAAGTGCTTTGACAAGCAGTGACACCTTATATATGTGGGAATAAGTAGGATGTTTACATATTTAAAAGTGCTTATATTTACTGTGCAAAATTAAATAGTTCAACTACACTTGTCTAGAATCTCCAGCACCTGCGCCACGGTCTGGTAAGGGGGGCTTACCAAGGAAGAATTATACACTAATAAAGGAACAGCACTGATGTCTGTGCGGCAAACTGCTACCCTACCCAATACTATATAGATATTAGTAGTTCTAGTAGCTTGGTACAGAGTAAAATACATGCTACAATAAGTGTTAAACCTATACAAATTTCAAATCATATTTATATATATAGTGAAAAATATCTATAGTGACAAATTCTTCCTTTAATTCAACAACTGAAAAAGTGTCTTCAGCAGGCAAATAGAGAAATTGTTAATTTAGATTCATGTGACAGTAGACTTTTGCTATAAAACCTTTGTATTCCTGAAAAATGTGAAACTGGTTATTAACCAAGTACAGAGTATTTATATCCTAAAACTACAGTATGAGTAAGAAGGATACTTGCTGTTTTCTCTTTTTCCTCATTGTTCTTCTTCTTTTTCGTTTGCACCTTAAAAAAAAGAAAATCAAATCAAATGTAATGGGAGAGCAGCTTTGGAAATGCTGTTTTAAATAAAAGTTTGAGCTTTTGTTCCATATAAATGAATAATGGCACAACAGTGGTAGAACACACTGAACAATAACCCATGAAGATGCACTAGTTATCTGTGTTATAGTCTAGAATATGCATTATCCTATAAACATCCAATTTGGGAAGACATTTGGCTTTTAACACACAGCAGAACAAGAAACAGCAGAGATACAAAGGTAAAATTACTAAGCTAATAACATGATAAAAATTCTTAATGAAAAAATGCAACACATTGCAACTTTCACAAATTTTGTAATCCTGCAAGAACACAAATCTTAAAAGTAGATATACGCAATGGCAAGAGTAGGGGTATTATGCCTGAAATTTTTTAATTCACTGGAAAAGGGAGCTGAAACATTTTAACCCTCTTGAAATGTGCCTATCTATTCACAAACAAAGAGAAATCTTGTGAAGGACACCACAGCAATCAGCCTCATTTCACTGAGCTCCAAAATACCTGTAAAAAGGTGAAAATTTTAAAGAAACTTAATTCAAAATGACTTGTAGGTGGTAAGAGCTGTAGTAAACAGTTCTTACTAATGGTTTTTATTACGGAGAAAAATAGAAACCAATCTGAATGTGCTACACCTTTTAAATTCAACTGTACAGAGCAGACCAGTTTCAACAATATATTAAATCTAAGCTAGTTTGTTCATCTACTTGTGAATCAGTAAGCTAAAAGCATTATAATATCTGAAATTGAGATTTCACACTGACCTCCTCTGTCTGATCTGACTCTGATAAAGATTCTGATGATAAAGGTCCATCACCACGATCAGCTTTCTTCCTTTTCCTGGGGTGATTTTTGCCTTCCTACAAAAAGCAATTTATTCGTGAGTAAACAAAGGCCATTCAAATTTTATAAAACTTCTGCTTAAAACTTAGATTGAAATATTATCTCTAAGTTGTGAAATATTTTTAAAAATTGTTGACATTAAACTAATGATCATTAACAAATTATTCTACCAACTGATAAAATACTTCTAGTGGAAATAGTCTCTTTCTGTACATTCCTCTCTTGTTACCAAGATATAGCAGCCTTCTAAAAGTGAGAGGAAGAATACTACAATATAGTCTCCTGCTTTGAATAATAACACATGAAGGAGTAAACATTTGAACGTGTTTCACCACTTTTAAATACTACTGTGTAAATTAAGGTGTCTCAATATGCACATACAAACACTGCAGCTTCAGACACTTGCTTTGTTGATGAAACTAAAAGAAAATTCTCCCTCTATATTTGTGTCCAACCAGGGCAAGATGTCCCTGCCAGCTGCACTTCAAGACTTAATATATAATCTCAGTATATTTAAAGGACAGTTTTTTTTGGTTTGTTTTTTTTTTTTTTTTTTTAAATTTTGATGCAGCGTGAGATTGCTCTATGAGCTACTCCCCACGCCCTGCCTCCCCCGTTGCTCTGGGCCAGGCAAGGTGTTCCTAAGACTGAAGCTACTTTCTTCCATTCAATTTCTAAGGCCAGAAACTGAAAAAAATTCTTGCCAATAATGTTTTTGCTAGGTGGGATCAAACATGTCACCCAGGGTATTTAGTTTATTATAGGTACCTTAATCCTTTCCCAAAAGTACTTATGAAAAGTACACATGGTGCTGCCCATTTGAGAGACAAGGCATCTTCAAAGAGTGGAAGACCTCTAGTCCCCAAATGTCCTTTGCTTTCAGAAGATGTGTGAAAGTAGCATTACAGCTTAACCAAGAATAAGGAGTAATGGTAAGACACTTGTCTTTGAAGAGAAGCTACTGAAAGTTAAAAGGAGCTGGTGGGAAATGGAAACTCTGTGACATGGAAGCAGGAGCAAGGGAAAAAAAAAAAATCAACACATTTGCCTTATGCAATGGAGAATTTGTACATCGAAGTCAATCCTGTTGACTGGAGTACTAGAGGCTGATGTGATAAGAAAGGAAACTGGAGATAAAGACTAGGGCGGACTCTGAAAGCATTCTTAGTTTACATATAGTGTAGAAATAACTAAAATTTAAGTCAACGAGATTATTTGCAATAAATATAATGGAAGGAAGAAAAGCCCTCAGATGCGTGTACAAAATGGTGCAGTGGTGGGAAGGAGACAGGGTATTCATGCTCAGAGAAAAGACAGAATAAGGTAATTTTTCTTAAGCTAATACATTTTTCTCTGCATTTTTTCAAAGCTGTCCTAAGTAAAATATCTACAATTATAACTACATTTAAATATACCCTCTGCTTGATGTTCCTTAATTTACAGCAACAAACCAGCATCCTACCAGTCATGCCACTGAAATATCCTACATATTTTAGCTCTGTGTAACTGTTCAAGATAAAACCCAAAATACTAGAATGCAGCTGATCTACTACAGCAGATACATTTTCATTTACCTTCAAAACAAGAACAGATCCAGCAGTTTCCACTAACAATTACTAAAACAGGGGCTGAACCCAGCTAAAAGCCTGCCTCAAATCTGGGGTACTGAATACCTTCTGACCGTGTAATTTTGGACAGGAAAAAAAGAGGGGAGGAGAGAGAAAGAGAGAGAGAGCGCCATTAGGTATGTAAAATACAGTTCTGATGCAAGTATTTAAATAGTAAAAATACCTTCTCTTTTTCATGATCTTCCCTTGACCTCTTCTTTTTTGTACTGTCCTAAATAGAAAGAAAAACATAAACCATGACAACATTCTTTCAGGAAAAAGGCAGAAATACCAAAGGGAGTCTGACCCATTGTCTTTTTCTGTCTATTGAAGGTCATTCTTCAAAGTCATTTTTTCTGCCTTGCAGTTAACAGGAAAAATATGAAAAAACCATAGTTTTGGTGCAGCCGCTGATTTCCTGAAACAGCAGTGTGAAAAGGTCTGTATGGAATCAGGTAAGAGAGTCCTTGCACTACACATAGCCTCTGGAAAGGATACCATCTATCACTACGGTAACCACATATAAGGTATGTCTAGCATGTAACAGTCTGGAGTCTTTATGCTCTATCCATGCTCATCTCTGCTGATCAGGAAGGGGTTAAGCAGATATTTCCGCAGAGTTTTCTTTTCTGCCTTCCGGTTTCAGCAGTAAGGTTATCTCTGTGTCCGTCTATGTAGCAGAAGTTTTCAAACTCTCCATTAGCACAAATTCACAGGTGTATGCAAGCAGTGATTCATCACAATTTATACCACACTGAATTAGGTACTCCAGTGAAAGCCTGTGATAAAGTCTATACGCAGAATCTGAACAACTCTGTACTATTAATACTTAGGCAAGAAGTACAGTTACTATCCACACAGAAAAATGCTAACATAACACAGCAAATTGCCTCATATATCTTCTCTTTCTTTTGCTCATTCAGTATACCTGTGTATGTACATTGCTCTACTTTCAGAAAAACAAAAAAGACACCCTCAATTTAATATGCATTTGGGAAAGGCTCAGTTCTCCAACAGGAAACTACTCAGTCCACATATTTAGAAAGGCAATATTCTGGCCGCTGATATCCTGCAATGTCTGTATTTTCACAGATGGTGTTCAATGAAATAGCATATTAGCACATTCACAAGAATTTCACAGAACATTTTATTTTTTCAAGTGTTAATGTAATATTAAAACTAAACATTTGAGCAGCACAAAAGCTGCATGTGTCTGAATTCAGAAAAATAGCTAAAAATTGCTGGAATAAAGCATGTTCATCTTCTAAGGATCAAATTATATTTCTGCCAGGCATTGTGGCCAGAGGTAGAGGTAGATTCCTGATTCATCTAAAAGGTAAAAGGGCAGCTCAGCTACAATAAGAACACATGGCTTTAAGTGTGGAAGATAAGAAAAATATTGATATGCGAAAGTCAGAAATGTTTACGTCTTCATAAAACAGATCAAGTAAAAACTGCCAAGGGTAATGCATCTGCGTATTTACCTTGCTGTCTGACTCAGATTCAGAAGTTGAGCTTGTTGAAGATTTCCGTGAGGAGCGATACTTCTTCTTCCTTCTTTTCTTCCCTTGCTTTTTATCCTATCCACAAATATTTCAGGAAAAAAGAAAAACACAACTGTGAATTTCTTCTCACTAGAATTAAAGACTTACACTAAATGCAAAGAATAGGGAACACCAGATTCCTACATGTTATCATGATCTCTCGAGGAATAAAGTATACTACAAATGATTCTTTTAGCGGAGGACCTTCATAACTCTTTCTGTATTGAAAAAATGTAAACTGGTGAAAAATCCAGGTTGTCTAGATTCTGTTTATTATTTGGATGTGTGCTGTAGAATCTGATTATCTGTAGCAAACATTTTTGCTAAAAAGCACAGTTGTATGTTTGCATTTTTGTGATTAGATCAGGGATTCTACTGAACAGCGTACAATTCAATATTAAACTGGAAATGGATCCCATTTACAAGCCAGCCAGCCAAAACGTATAGTGTTCATAAAGAAATTCTTGAACATCTATTTAAAATTCCCAACTTTGTTATATTTGCCAAATGTATAAAATTAAATAGTTTTATGCAAACAAAACCCTCAAACAATATTCTAAAATGTATCATCAAAGTCTGCATTAAATAAGCCTCATGAACAAAACACGTTAGAGTCTAATAAGTCAGTTCTTACCTCATCTTCTGAATCAGATGAACTGCTGGAAGAATCAGAGCTTGATGAAGAAGAGGAAGATGAAGACAACTTGACCAAACACAACAAAAAGTGAAGCTTGTGAGATGCAGCATTTTGTCTGGCAAACAGTCAAAAGTCCATCCAAACACTTCCTTTAAAATCTCTTCATTTGCAAAGTGGTATCAATGAAATTTTACTTCCAAGAAGCTGGCCATACATAGATTTCTTAAATAAAACTGTAAAAAGTGACTTCTAACGTTTTTCATTTAATACTTATTTTAATGCTGTCTTCCTCCCTTTAAACAAAAGTAAAATTATCCTTCTATAGATGTAAGCCACCTCTCTCAAATAAAAATCAGTCAGTTTAACAGCTAAATTCAAAATTACAGCTATACTCTCCAAGAGAGCTTAAATGACAAATAGGAACAACCTCAAAACAAAAAAACTCAGAAAAATGAAAATTTTGCTCACCCTATTAGATTTCTTCTTTTCCTTTTTCTTTTTCTTAAAAAGAGAATAAAACAAATGTTACTTTGGCATCATGTTCTTTTGTTGTGCGTTTAGGTTTATGTACTTCGATGCTGGCTTTTAAAATGCATTTATGACATTCTGTATTGCAGCATCAATGATAAATCCAGTTCCAAACACAGCCTGTATGAAAATGAAAATAACTTACCTCTTTCTTCTTGGAGGAACTCTCATTTCCACCCAGTAATTTCTCCCTGTGTTTTTCCAGTTCTTTCCTCCAATTCTGAAAACAAAACCAAACAGAAACAGTGACATGAGTGTAACTTCCAAACAGATTTTTTTAATAGACCTTTTTTGAAATCTTGTCCTTTACCTGACATTATATAGTTTTCACAAAACCCACAGAAGATAAACAACAGATGTTAACCAAGGCTATAATGCATTTGATTTTACAGAAGATTAATATTAATCAAAATACCATGTTAGTTCACACATTAATGTTCAAGTTGTTTGGATTTAAGAGATTATCATATATCTTGAAGGTCATAAACTATGGTATTTTCTACCTGAAAAATTGCTGTTCTGTCTTAGTTTTAAAATCACCTGAAGCAAAATTTCAAGACAAACCCTCCTGACCCTTCTTCAATGTATGGGTGTCTCTAGTGTCTGTTCTGGACCTTGCTGGTGTTAACAATTATTAGAGTATTAAATTATTGTACACTTCATCATAGAAACACTCTTATTTCTATTAGGCCAAGCACACAGATAAAAGTCTCCCCTCATTCCTCCTCTTCAATCCCTGACATGCTCCCTTTAAGAGCTCTGAAAAATCCAGCTTGCTCCCATCAGATTGAAAAGCTGCTAGCTTCAATCTGCGCTACTCCTGCTTCCTGTATCAGACACATCCTGTGCTCCTTTCTTTATTATTAGTATTCTGACCCTCTCTTTCCTCATGTTGAAGCTGTATTGGTATTGTATTGACAAAGCAACAATAATCCACATATTGTGCTGAAGGGACTGAAATATAAGGAATTAAGTAAGATTATGCCTGTGCAACGTGTACGATACACAGATCCCCAGGTCTGTACTGTGAATTAGCTGAAAAGTGCTGCTGAGAGGCATGGCAGATTAGCCAGGACACAGTGCTGGAATAATGATAATGCGCTTCCATGGTCCAAGGTAGTGTCTACACAGTATTGCAGCAGGTTGAGTACTTTGATATACCAGCTACCCAGAGCTACCTGAGGGGTCTTTAACAGCAGCCTGTGCTTTACTAGACAGGTGTTCTCTTTACATTATATTAAGACTGTGCTACGCTTAAAACAAAAAAACACAACATCTGTCAGTAAAATAGGAGAGATAGCACATCATTCACAGACTTGTGATCTTCTCCACCATTCAGGGATTTGTTCTTAGGAGCTTTAGGAAGAACTCACGGCCACTTCAGGATTCCCTGCATCCCTTTCTGCCCTCCTGCCACACTGAAAGGCTGTTATCTTCTATCTGTGCCAGCTTCGATTATTTCACAATAAAGCTAAGATAAAATCAGGAAAGGAATATAATGAAATACTAGAGCAAACACACCAAGCTAAAACTCAGAGTGCAGAACAATTGATCCTCTTGCAATAGCACCCCATGACCCTCCAAATACTGGTATAACTTCTTAGGCAAAAAGGTATAGCAAGAGCAGAGTACTGTGCCCTTCAAGTAATAGAGGAGGAGCATAATATACTTCAACCAGAAACTTGCACACAATGATGAAGACTACTGCTTGAACCTTGTCCCAAGAAACCAGAACCCAAGAAGGAATAGTTAAATTCATCATATACAACAGGACTTCTATGTGAAACTTTCTTACACCGTGCTGACCTCCAGTAGGTACTGAACACAAGCATCAGAACAGCTGCATTTATACTAGGGAACTAGAGTGGAATGTAATCATCTTAGGATGAGAGAGAAAGAAGTGCTTTATAGTCCTATCTGTACACTGAAGGCTATTCTTTGTACCTCCTCCCATATCAATATTACAAGTACATTCCTTGCCAAAGATGTCTGTTTCCAGTAAGGCACCTCTTTCCAACATATTTGGATTGCGGGTCCTTAAACAAGTGAAGATTAGCACAACAGACTTTAGTTAATCATACTAGAATATTAATGAGTTTCATTTATTAATATAAACATATGCATTTGTATAACTATATTTACATTTATTAAAAGTTCAAGTTTTATTCAGCAGCAATTTTCAGAACTTTTTATACAGTGATTCTCTGAACTGAGAGTAGCTCTTCATTGGTTAAGGGGTAACCTTAACATCTGATACAGCGAAACAAAACATTTACTCATCAAAAGCTTGATTAAAGTGAAATATTATGGATACTTGGTGCTGTTAACAATAATGGAGGAAAAGTAGCATGTAAAATAAGAAGAATCAAGAATCAACATACTAATAACATTACCAACCTCGTTCATCTTCTCTTCAAACTCAGCCAAAGCCCTGGATCCTTTCTTTTTCTTTTCTAGTTGCTCTTTTACTTCTTCCCTACATAAAAAGGATGACAGATCACAATTTTCATAATTAAAAATAACTTCTTCAGCGTCTACCTTTTGTAGGGTTTTTTGAAGTTCAGCTTTGGCTGAACTTCCAACAGAAAGAAAACTGAAAGCATTTTAGAAGTTATGCATATGGTAACCTAACACTAATAACTTAAGTACAGTAGCTAAATCCCTCTGAAAGATCTAAAGCTAACTCTGCAATTAGGTAAATTGCTCTCTAATGTCTTATGAGAGGAGGCAAAATGGACTGAATGTAAAGTAAGTTGACAATATCTCAAAGTGATGATTTTGTTGGGTAAACTGTGTTCTAAGAATATACCAGCAAAATGTTCTTCTAGAGATTACTTTGTTTAAAAATTAAATATATCTGTAGGCTTTAGGTACTAGGATTTGTGAAAGAGGTAGAATGATCAACATTTTCCTCTTCTGAGAAACTGTTGCCGAAATCAGACAAATCAGAAATATGTATTTCAAAATGAAAGACTATTGTTTTTAAAAGAGGACATTGAATACATACATATTTAGAAAATAACATCTTGGCCAGAGACAAGGAATCTTTCAAAATGTATTACTGGGTATTCTGGGGGAGGAGGTAGGTAACAGCGTCACCTTAGTAAGAGGGAACAAATCTGTTACTCAAAAGGTCAGAAGGGCAGTCAAGTGTTGCCACTTACCATGTTGGTCTTGGCCTGTTCAAGTAGTCTTGAATTGTTGGTCCCGAAGTTTGAGCAGGACCTCGTGCTCTGGCCATAGCTATGGGATTCATATAAGCCTTGAATACAAAACAACAAAAAGAAATATAAAATTAAACAGATGCACTATGATACCAAAATCTGTTCTTTTTGTTCTTCACAGAAACTTTTTCTCACTCATTGAAAAATAATTTGGACTTGTTTCTAAACATATAAAATGTTTAACTAAACCAAGTTGTTTCGGTCTGGCAGAAAGACATAGGTAAGTGCTTTCAATTTGAGTTATACTGTGGCAGAAAGAACTCATCTACAAAGAAACCATGTTTCTTACAATAATTCCCCTCCCTAAGCAATTATTTTGCAAACTGAGCACAGTATGATAATTGCTGAAATATTCTTCCTTGGGATATAGAAAATGTAATTAAATTTCAGCTCTTACTCTCTGGGACAACTGATCTAATGCTTTTAAAGTTCTGCTCAAAATTTATGATAGTAGATTCAACAAATTCTGCGTAGTTTCTTGCTGTAACATGAAAACAAGCAAGCTGTGGTGCTGTGCTACAACTATGCATGTATGAAAATTCTGTGACTGAGGGCTATTTTAATGCTGAAAAAAACCCGAAACTCCAAACCCCCCAGTGTAATGAGGTATTCCGTCTTTCAAATCTATGCATCCTCTTCATACTCACTCTAAAAATGTAACAGGTTATAAAAGATGAATTTAAAACTTAGAATCCATAATCCACCTCAGCAATTAATGGAAAAACTCTAACCTAGCAAACACATCTTAAGTGTTTTTGGTTTTTTTTTTAAGGCCAATAATACCTTGCTCATCAGAAAGGGAGGTACGTGTACCCCCTCACCTCATGGGCTTTTATCACTACACCATCCCAACACTTCACAATTTACTTTTGCAAAACATCGCACCACTGTTCCTACTGCTCAGTCTGGAGATGAGAAAAAAATCAAACAGTCAAAACAATGACTAGCTTTGGTTGCCCAATCTAAGACAGTTTTTTTGAGAGTACAACATTTTGTAGACTCAAAGTAAAGATTTGACCATATGTGTAGCTCCTACATGTCTAACACTGCTTTTTATCAGGCCATAAAGTAAGCACACAGAAACCATTATGCACAGTAAACGACCATTTGTGAAGGCTGTCAAATGCAGCAGCTGCTCCCTCCCCTCCTGTTTCCCCCCCTGCAGAGGCAGAGGCCACAGGATGCTGGGTTTCTGGACTGGCCTGTGAGCAGGCTGGTGGCCTTCAGCCCTTGCAGCTACATTTAGTCCTGGAAGAGGGACTATGGGCTCTGCCTGGGCTGCAGCAAGGGGCTGGAGGGAAGCACTCCCCACGCGGAATTTGGCTCATGATGCCTCAGGTGAAGCACACTGAAGCAATCAGAGGACTCTTTCAAGTGCACCATTTTTTGACTCAAGTTGACTTTGGAATTCTAAGGGTGACATTTTCTGCCATTTCTTGGGGCTTTGTTTTGTTGCTTTAATTTATGCAAAAAGGCTTAAATAACATGGGCAAGTAAACACTGAGGTATGCCAATGTAATCTAGTTTAATCTCAGTTTTGCACCTCCTTTTGTAGCCAGGTGGATATATTAATTCAAGTAGTTATAGATTGAAAGATATGTATTCACATTATTAATTATAGCATTTTTTTATATTACAAATCTACAAACGAGTAAAAGTGTTGCATCTGAATGCAGTTTTGAGTGGAAAAGGAGCTCCTTTCGCAATGCAGGAAAGCAGTATTTCAGTGTACTAAATCCACTACAGAAGACAACAGAAATGTAATCCATGACTTGGCTTACTCCAGTGAGGAAAGTCAACTCTTTTTGGTTACCATTCAGGGATTTAAATCTAAAAGCTCTATCTTCTTACATAATTATTATTCCTAAAGCCAAGTTTTCTTGCTGCTCTTAAATAAAAATTAGGTACTTTCTTACCTGAGCCAACCCAAAATGAACACCCCACCGCCCCCCAACAAAACTCTTGACCTGCAGAAGAGGCTACGACTGTTAAATGTTTTTCTACTTCCTCAAATGGACCCCAAATAACTAACTAGGAAGCTTCCTCCATTCAGTGAGTTCCTTTAACTTCCTGGCAGCAAGCACATAATGACCAAATACTACTCTATATTCCACAATTAGGAAATTTATGTCTTAAAACATGGTCTTAGAATTTCAAACAGGTTTATTTATGAAGAATTACTTTGCCAACAAATACTTCTTAGAAGTATTTATACTACTTTGACAAAATGCATGTCACTAGCCAGAGAGAGCACAGAAATGCACTCCTGGTAAAAGAAGTGCTTGTCTGCACATTGATTTTCTTCTTCTGGCAGTTTGCTCAAGCAGTTATTAAAAGGTATTTGTTGTACAGCTTACATGCTTATGAAAAGCATACGGCACCTTCAGTCAGCCAGGGTTCTCTCGGCAAGCAATACAAACTGTTACTGCTTTGCAAGTATCCTGCGGACGTGAAAACCACAAATTTATCTTCCACCTCTAAACAGTCAAAACAGTGACGTATTTAAAAGGGTCATGGAAGGAAGCTCTACAGTCACAGAAGTAAAGCAAAGGGTTCTATAACTTGTCTGTACTAGCAGCAGTCATGGCACAATGAAACTTAGACAGGAATATAAAGATTTGCTGTTATTGGTAGGTACATCCCAACTGTCCTATTAGAAGAAAATTAAGAAAAAACAGACACCCAAATACACCCAAAAACATTACAAGAGGGCAGTACATTTCAAGCATAGGCCAGGTCTACCAGTCTAACACTATGAATGCTTTCTCAGTAGATTCCGTTATTTTGACGCCTCAATAAAGTAATCAAAGGCACTTAGCTATCCATTTGTATCATGTATATGTCCATATTACATATTATTCCACCAAGGTAAGCAAAGACATTTCCCTGAACAGATCTGAGCACAAACGTATAGCATATACTAGGACGGGACAAAGAAAGGTGGGGGGGAAGAGTCTTATGCCTTGTTTTTAATCATAAAACTCATTAACCGCAAATTTACAATGCTTTTGTAAACAAAACATGAGCATAAGCTGAATGGCTAACTGGTATGAAAAAGTTTAAAGAAAAAATATGAGGAAGGATGAATGTGGTAACAGCATGAAATCAGGCTCTGCAATCAGGTGTGCAGCAGCACATTTCTGGCCTTCTGACTGGTAGCTCCCAGGGCCAGCAGAGCGCTGCGTAAAGCTGCGATCAGAGCTACTTCAGCGAATGCTGCAACTCCCACTGGGAACACTATTTTCGTAAGGACCGGGCCAGCATCTTAATCATCTTCACTGAGCAGATCGCAACGCAGGCATCAGTCACGACTGCTGCCGGGTTTGACAGGGCAGAGGCAGGTTCTGCCAGGGAGCCGCGGCACGTGCCCGCCCACGCCGCGGGACACCCCA